GTTCTGGAGATTTTGAGCAGTTCGGAGAACCAGTAGGATAAATTTTGAGTAGTTCGGAGAACCAACAAATACCACCTCTGGCTGGCCCCAGAGTGTGGATGGAATGGAGTTTTTGCAGTGTCCTTCCCCTGCCAAGCCCGCCAAGCCACGCCCACCAAGCCACACCCACAGAACCGGTAGTAAAAATATTTGGATTTCACCACTGGACAAGATCATTTATCATTGTCATAACTTTGAACTCTTGCTGAAAGAATGGCTTTAAGTCAAGGACTATCTGCACTTACAGCAAGGATAAATAAGTAAAAATATCTGGACTCAGACAGGAAAGGTCAGATATGTCTGGCAAAATTTATTTAATATCAGTTTTCAGGGGGAAATGAGTATTTATATAATTTATACGGAGTGGACTTGCTTCTCCTTTCTCAGATTTTAAGGCTGTGAGACAAAGGGTCTTGGGGACATATTTACCCCATTTTATTTCACAAACTATATACTTATGTCCCATTGCAGGATATTATATTCATGTATTATACTAGCCAGTCTGTAACTGTACTGAATAAATAAAGTGTTTCTAACCTTCCGGCAATCGCTTCCAAAGGTTATTACATTTTAGATTTGCCCACAAAAAGATGAGTTCAAACTGACTCATAATTACAGATTAACCTAAACCGTGGTCATTATAATGTGAGTTCTTTTTCTTCGTCTTCTTAAACTGCCTATCTGCCATACAGGAGAAGAATTGCAGAAGGAGGGATGAGTCTCAAAATGGAGCTCCTTTGGCCCTTGACTTCCTGCAGGACTGAGCCAGATTTCTCGGGGGGATAATTAAGCATCAGCATAAGCCCCATCATCTGACTTCAGTCCTGTCATCATTTCTCCAAAACCATAAAGCCAGGCCTTTTAAAGATAGCCGGTGAAACTGAGCCTTCAGGCTATTTTGCTGTGAAGGATGCCAGACTAAATTCTTCCCTTTCTTTATTTCCTCCTTCCATTTCATCTTCTATCTAAGCCTTTCAGTTGTTGCTTAGGGCAGTTGGTTTTCCTGTCTTCAACTCTACAATTTGTCTGGAGCATTGGCAGACCGATAGCGGTTTTCCCTTGGACATAGAAATATAACATATTTCCCTATTATCTGAATAGCGAGAATATTAATAAATTAGTAGTAGATGAAGCCAAATTATTTTGATTCCAAAGGGTCTGGGTCTTTTCAAACCTTTCTAGAAAGTAAAAAAAAAGAGAGAGAAGTTTTTACTGGAGCTCTGGGAAATTGAGAAATATCCAGTCCCAGGACATTCCTCTACTATCGGCAAACACTCTTCTTGCAAGTTCCATGTTCCGATATCATGTTAGAATATAGAAGACATTGGCAGGTGAAGCAGCAGTCCTCCACAATATCTGTTTATAGATAGTTTGTTTTGTTTTTTTTTTGCTTTCTGCACAAAAATTTCCACATGTACTTGAAATTTGCATTGCCAATAAGTGCTGGGTATATTTATTTGTTATAAAACTCCTAGCCGCTAGGTCAAGGAGAATAAAATTTAGTCTTAATTGTAGAAAACAATGTTCTATATTTACCAATGCTGTTTTCTTCCTTTGTAACTTATAAAATTGTAGAGAACCAGATGAGAGGAAGAGGGAAAAATCAAGAAAGCTTGCTTCATCCTTAAAAATGAAACTAAAATTTGGAGGAATGGCTTCACTAGAAGACTTTGTTTCTGAATTTCTTTCTAATCACTAATTTTGGTTGGTTTCCTCATTTGGATATTGATTACCTGGTGTTTTTTAATTAAGAAAAACCTTCAAGTATTTGTAATTGATTGAATCCATGAGGGAGATCGTTTGTCACATCAGATGAAAGGACCACATTGTTTTTTATTAATTTATTTATTTATTAATTTAATTTGTATACCGCCCTTCTCCCGGAAGGGACTCAGGGCGGTGAACAGCCAAAATTAAAAAACATACAAATGCAAAAGTTAAGATAATTAAAAGAATTAAATCATCGGCTACCCAAATTTAAAACCCCAAATCCATAAAATTTAAAATCCCAATTAAAAACCATTTAGGCTAGGCCGGCTTGATGAAATAAAAACGTCTTCAGGGCTTTACGGAAGGTCCGGAGGTCTGGGATCAATCGTATTCCAGGAGGCAGCTCATTCCACAGGGCGGGTGCCCCCACAGAGAAGGCTCGCCCCCTGGGGGCCGCCAGCCGACATTGCCTGACCGACGGCACCCCGAGGAGGCCCTCTCTGTGAGAGCGTATTGGCCGGTGGGAGGTTATCGGTAGCAGCAGGCGGTCTCGCAAATACCCTGGCCCTAAGCCATGGAGCGCTTTAAAGATGAGAACCAACACCTTAAAGCGCACCCGGAAGACCACCGGGAGCCAATGCAGCTCGCGCAGGAGAGGTGTTACGTGGGAGCGCCACGTCGCTCCCATAATCACCCGCGCAGCCGCATTCTGCACCAGCTGGAGCCTCCGGGTGCTCCTCAGGGGGAGCCCCATGTAGAGAGCGTTACAGTAGTCCAGGCGTGACGTAACCAAGGCATGAGTGACTGTGCACAAGGAGTCCCGATCCAGAAAGGGGCGCAACTGGCGTATCAGGCGAACCTGATAAAAAGCCCCCCTGGCCACGGCCGTCATATGCTCTTCTAAAGACAGCCGTGTGTCCAGGAGGACGCCCAAGTTGCGAGCCCCCTCTGTGGGGGTCAGTGACTCGCCCCCAATAGCCAGCGATGGCACCAGCTGGCTATACCGGGACGCCGGCATCCACAGCCACTCGGTCTTGGAAGGGTTGAGCCGAAGCCTGTTCCTCCCCATCCAGACCCGCACGGCCTCCAGACACTGGGACATCACTTCGAGGGCATCATTGGGGTGGTCTGGGGTGGAAATGTACAGCTGAGTGTCATCAGCGTACAGATGGCATCGCACCCCAAAACCACGGATGATCTCACCCAGCGGCTTCACATAAATGTTGAACAGGAGCGGCGAGAGGACCGACCCTTGCGGCACCCCGCAAGCAAGGCGCCTCGAAGTCGACCTCTGCCCCCCTGCCAACACAGACTGCGACCGGTCAGAGAGATAGGAGGAGAACCACCGCAACACGGTGCCTCCCACCCCCAGTCCCTCCAGCCGGCGCAGCATGATACCATGGTCGATGGTATCAAAAGCCGCTGAGAGGTCTAACAGGACCAGAACAGAGGAACAACCCCTGTCCCGAGCCCTCCAGAGATCATCCACCAATGCGACCAATGCCGTCTCCGTGCTGTACCCAGGCCTGAAGCCGGACTGGCACGGATCTAGATAGACGGTTTCATCCAGGAACCGTGGGAGCTGGCGCGCAACCACACTCTCCACAACCTTCGCAACAAAGCGAAGGTTGGAGACCGGACGATAGTTTGCCAAAACGGCCGGGTCCAGAGAAGGCTTCTTGAGGAGGGGCCTCACCACCGCCTCTTTCAAGGCGGGAGGCAAGAAACCCTCTCTCAGAGAATGATACTGTTTTAACAAACAGTATCAGTTGATTTGATGTATGTTCCCTAGGCTATCTGAATCATACTCCCATAGGTCCAGATTTTGTGTAGCCATGAATCATAAATCTTTGGGGTGGAAAGACAGGGGGAATTGCTTATAATGAATTCTCAGTCATTGTGTTATCCAGGATGTAAGAGAAATATTTGTTTTACATTCAAATGTCTTAGGTGTTTTGCTTGCATGCTTCCTTGATTTTTGCTCATATCATATTGTTCTTCAGAATTTTGACTTCAGGCCACTTGTAAATATGTCATTCTTGATTTAACACAAAAAAGGATTTGGAATATAGGATTTAACGTACAAGAGCAGGATTTGTAATACAAGTAGATGTGCATGGAGCTATACCAGTCCTACCTTGGGGATTGTCAAGGTGAATGAAAGAATTCTGCAAGATTGATAAATGTGTGGAGGGGTGGCATCCATACTCTTATCATACCAATTGCTGTCTTCAAATGCTAGTCATAAATAAACAGAATGGTATATCGCACATATTGAACTTCAGAAAACACCAAGTTTTGAACAAACCATTGGTTAGAGGGAGAAGGAATATTCTAGTTAAGATATCCTCTATAAATCATCCTGCTGAGACCTGCCTGCAATGCTTACTACCAATTAGAAATGAAAGAAATGGAATGAGTTGACCAGGCATGAACAGAAATCTTACATTGTCATGTTCTGGTTTATTGTATCAGAAGTAAATTCTGGTCACTCTTGCCTCAGAATGATTGTGTGAGTGATCAATACGCTTTGTACACAAACTGAGTAAAATACAGTGTTAGAATTATGGATATATACCGTGTTTTCCCAAAAACAAGACCCTGTCTTATATTTTTTTTTTGAACCCTGAAATAAGCACTTGGCCTTATTGCCATGTGCTCAAAAGCCCGATTGGGCTTATTATCAGGGGATGTCTTATTTTAGGGGAAACAGGGTAAAAGCTAAGAAAATTGCAATTAATCTGATGGAAAATTGCAATTAATCTGCATAATACTCTGGAATAACTAACACATGTTTTTGTTTCATTTTCTAAACATGCTCTTTGTTTTTCTCCATTAAATGAAATTGATTTTTTCTGCAATATTTTAAACATCTGAAAAATAGTGCACTTTTTGTAAGTGAATAATGGTAAACATAAGTATAGTAAAATAAACTTGCTTGCCAAATCAGCTTATAGGAATGATCCTTTTAGTATTTTAAATGAGTCAGTGGTATACAAATACCTACTGTTTCAATGGCTTGCATATATCTTTATTAAAAGAGTTATAGATAACTTATACTACAATATGTGATGCAGCTTCATATGTAGGCTTATAAAAGCATTATCTAAACAGGTTGGAGTTTAATACAATTAAATTTATGAAACTGAATCAAATATAATGTGCAATTGCACAGAGGTTCCTTATATAAAGTGTCCAATGGATTTTTCTTAATAATAAGATCCTTTTTAAAAAATTCTTATTTGCACTAGATTACTAGGCCAAGCAGCTATAGCAAGAAATCTCACTTTGAAATTGAAGATGCTGATGAAGTTGACAAGATGGAAATCAGGTAAAATACTTTATATCAGGAGTCCCCAACCCCTGAGCTGTGGCCCACTACCGGCTGTGGCCTATTCAGAATTGGGCTATGTGGATGGCTGGCCAGAATATACACACACGCAGCTCAAGTTGCACAAGCAGTAGGCCAGCAAACACTCACACATGTGCACACTAGCCTACCACTTGCACAAGTTGAGCTGCATGCATGCGCACTGGTCCACCACTTATGCAAGGGATGTGTGCACACACCAGCCCGCCACTCACATGGCCCAGTTCTCCTCTCCCCTTTCGCAGCAGTCTACCGAGCCGCAAAGGTTGGGGACCTTCTGCATTATAGGTAAAATCAGCAATGAATGGAAGTAGCAGTGCCTTTCTATTTGTTACCTTTGCTTTTCCTCCTTGGATAGTTGGGGCATTTCTACATCAGCATTTTGTTCCACTTTGAAACTGGTTTCCCCTCTTTTTTTACAGTACCATCTGTTGGAGACGTTGAGTTTGTTTCTGGCTCTGTTTCAGTTTATTTGAAATAATTCAGTATTGGTATTTTTCTTCGAATCATGCAATTCTGAAGATTGCTTCTTGCATACCGCCTTCCATCTCTTGATGCCAGTAATTATTCTCGTTTCCTGCACGCATTTAGAATTTACCATATCTAATCCTCACCCTGTTGTAATATTTAATCTCAATCAGAGCGATTGGGGAAGTTGCCTGATTGCTGCCAGCATAATTTCACTTTAGCAATTTACAGAAACTTTTCAATACAACAGAAAAGTGATGACAAAGAGCCTGAGAAGAAATTTCAGAAGGATTTCAGTGCCTTTTGAAAAGATTTTTTTAATCAAAGTTCCTTTGAATCATAGCAATCTCTGCGGTTTTTTTTTTCAAACAACCAAACAAATTCAAGCAAACACCATGTACAGAAAAATATGAACAGACCAGGGGTGGGTTCTACTTACCTTTACCTTGAAAACAGGATGACTCTCCTTTCAAAGCTCACTAGTGTGTCACATCAATGAACACATTGCTATAAGAATTATGATTTTACAACCTGAACTTCTAGATTTAAACAACAGGAAGAAATGGAAACAAATACACACAGCCAAAACATTGTGTTGTGAACATGGAATACCTGAATCTATTTCTATAGTTTATCACATGCTGAAATCAGATTATTATTTCTTTAATGATCTTCTCAGTTGATAGAAATAAGCTTCAAGTCTTTTTACTGTGTCAACCTAAAATGAGTTACCAGTTAACATAGCAGTACTCTCATGTTTGCTTCAGCTTGGACTTTAAAAAAACATCCTCTTTTGTCTTGGAGTTGGTTAGTTAATTAGTTGAATTTTGATTTGTATTTTTTGGAGAAGAAAGAAATGAAAATATTAAAGAGGAGGAGAAAGGGTTTGTTCTTCTGTCTCTCATTCTGCCTTTTGCTCTGTTGCAGAGTTGATCTTTGGAATGCAAGCAACTTGAAGTTTGGAGATGAATTTCTGGGAGAGTTGAGGTTGCCACTCAAATTTCTTCGACAGTCCAGCTGTTATGAAGCATGGTACTCTATTTTATTAAACTATTTTAGCCTTTATTTGTATTTCTTTATAAGTTGTTTCAGAACAATTTTGCTCCCTGTCAGAATTGATTTCTTATTTAGTGTGTTTTTTTTAAATCCTTCTCCTACCTGCCCAATCCAGTTTTAGGTAGAAATACATGTCATCACAACCATAATGTGTTTAGGCACATAAAAATGAAAAGACATGAAGAAAGATTTATAGACTCTTTCATAATACTGGGAAGAAAGGCCTTCTATATGCAATACAATCTATATATAGTTTTAGAAGCTGTTTTATGTTTTTCTCCTTTGTTAGGTATTTCCTGCAGCCCAGAGTTAATGGCAACAAAACACTGAAACCTGATGACCTAGGTTCCTTGCGGTTAAATGTGGTTTACACAGAAGACCATGTCTTTCTTCCAGAGCATTACAACCCCCCTTAGAGACCTCTTATTAAAATCTGCAGATGTTGAGGTAATTTTTCCTTTCTTCTCATATTTATCATTTTACAATAAACGGTCTGATGTCCTCACGCTCTCTGCAAACATGGGCTCCTTGCTATTTAGAAGGCAAATACTGAAATATGCATTTTCTACCTCCCCTGGGGCAAATGTTCAGGAAATAATCTTGTTTATGATGACTGAATCCCCAAAATAATTTGGCTGTGGGAAGCCAACAGTCCTGATCAGGATCATTGGAATAAGAGAAAACGACTTCAGTGGGGGCCCATTTTAATCTCTGGATTCCTATGCTTACTAGCAATGAGAAACTAGTGATTTTATCTCTGCATTGCAATTCTTCCTTGAGTAGGGCCTAGAAGGGAACATCTGATAACTTCCTATTTTCCCTTTCCTGTTAGTATATCACCTTTTGAATTCCATCTGCTTCTGTATTCCATCTGTTAACTGTGGGAAAATAATAATTTCCCCAACTTTCTCCAATAGCTTATCCATTGACTCATCAGTAGGCTGTTGATATCCTGCATGGAGAACTTCACTGCAGTAATTTGTTTTGATAGTCTAGTCCAGTGATGGCTAACCTTTTTGCCATCACGTGCCAGGAGTGGAGGGGGGGGGTTGCACACGTGCATGCCCACACCCATAATTCTATGCATCCTGCCCCCATGCATGCACACATGCCCCCCCCCCCCCGCTCCCCTGCTCCTGGCACGAGATGGCATGGTAGGCCTGTTTTTTGCTCTCCCCAGCCTCCTAGAAAGGCTTCTAGAAAGGTTGCAGTGGAAGTTGGCAAACGGGCCATTTTCGGCCTCCGGAAGGCATCCGGGGTGGGTGGGTGGAAGGCCGTTTTCGCCCTCCCCAGACTCCTAGAAAGGCTCTGCAGGCTGGGGAGAGAGAAAAATGGGCGTTCCCCACCAACCCCCCGAGGCCCTCCAGAGGCAGGAAACAGCCTGTTTCCCTAGTACTGAAATTCTTAGCTGAGCTCGCAGGCCCACTGATATGGCTTTGCATGCCACCTGTGGCACGCGTGCCATAAGTTCGCCATCACGGTCTGGTTAGTAAGCTAGTAGAAACTATGGGAGAAAGGAAGCCCATCATACAGATAGCTTCTGAATATAGCTGGTTGACTACTACTGGATTAGAATCAGCTGCTGCAGGGTTGTCAAACTCATGGCCTGCGGCCCGGATGCATCATGCACTGGCCATCCCCACCCCCATTTTAGCAAAGGGAAAGTCGCGATACGTCATGAGCTACTGTCTCGATAAATTGGTAATCCTTGACTTAATGCACAATTTTCAAACAGTGGTTATAGAATACTGGCTGTTTGCAGAGATCTATCAGGTGGTCAGCTGAAACCTACCCACATATATTGTAAATCAGCTGGTATGACAAAATGCATCAGTGGCAGAATAAACAGGTCTTCAGGGTAGACTGCTACTCCTCCTTTTCTTTGCTACGTAAATCTGTGATCTCACACAAGCAACTCAAAAAGAAAAATGCTAATAGGTATCTAAAACTGGGATTTCATTTATTTTCAAGCAAGTCTTTAGGATTAAAAGACTTTTACCCAAGAACATTCTTGATCAAATTCATGTTAAGATTTGTTATTATTGCAGGAGTACAAAATTAGCTGAAATATCTTTAGAAAAATTAAGAGGTAATAGAAAATCATACCTAAACACAACTATGGTCATTAACTAATTTGTCAAAAACATAATTCCCATTGGAGAAAAAGCATTAGGAGTAGGTGTTTTCAGTGGGTTTCACTTCACATTTTTGCAAACATTAATTTAGTGGCTGACAATTGCAGAAACTTTGAGAAAAATTGACTTAGTGCAGCCCTGCATAACATACAAGCTACATGCGGCCTGCTAGGCAGAGTTATAGTTCTGTATCAGAAATTACATTTTAATTCTAACATTCAAGTAGCCTTTTCTCTAGTCTACTTAGCATTCTTGCTATTCTTTGAGAAGATGCAACTGCATGGCTTCTCCTGAACTTGTGATTTGGTCATTTCTTCAGGAGGTCAAGGGTCAATGCTTCCTTTGTATTCTTCTTAATGAGCCATGTTTCTCCTGTAATCTTTTGAGTGACCTGTCCCCATGGTCTCTAAACCTCTATAAAATCTCTTCTAGCTCTCAGCTTTCTTTCATCAAATATTAATTTTCTTTCCTCACAGAAGAATGCAGTGTAAATCTCATATTGACATATTGTAGCAACTTTGACAAAAAATACCAGAGACTGGGATACCTTATTCCACTAAACATTTATTTTTACCAGTTTATTGAAAAAGCAATAGTTGTTGGATTTACACATATTGTTAATTTGTGCATTATGGCTTAATACAGCATATCAACCAAGCCGAAGTCTTTTCATTTCACAAACCCAGACTGGAATGAAATAAGGAGAAAATGTAGTCATAGATAGCATATCTTAAATTGATAAGTGCCCCAAATTCAAGTTTTCTTTTGTAATTCCACTTAAGTAAAAGCTGACATTAAATGAAAGAAATATGTTAGATATACATACATACAATTAGACCTCAATACATCGTGTCATAGATTTCTATGTATATGGACATTGCTCTTAAGAATTTGGCAATTCATTTAAAAATTCTTTTAGGGATGCCTCTATTTAAACTTTTTTGTTTTTCTCTGTTTAGCCTGTTTCATCATCAACTGCCCACGTACTGGGTGAAGTCTGCAGAGAAAAACAGGAGGCAGCCATACCTCTGGTTCGACTCTTCCTCCACTATGGCAAAATCGTGCCTTTCATTAGTGCAATTGCAAATGCAGAAATAAAAAGGACTCAGTAAGTACAATAGTGCATGTATTGTAAAAAGAGGTACCGAGTAGCAAATAATGATTTTTTTGGGGGGGAAGGTCATGCATAAGGACAAATGGGCTTTTGATTTTCCACATTCATTTTTGATAAGGATTCCATAGCAAGTATTTTCAAAAAGTGGAACCTACTACTGGTGTGTGATGTTCCATCAAAAAATTGTGATTGTGGTTAATAAAGACAGGAACAGAATTGCATCATCTAAACATTTAGACTGATGAATGGTTTAAAGATAAGGATTTTTTTTTTAAAAAAAAAACAAGGTCAATATTTTGCCCTGAAGCTCCATAGCTAAATTCCTTATGCTATTTTTACCAACCAATAGAATAGTTATACAAGGAGAGTAGTTTCCAAAGATATCCTGGGAACTATTTTCTCCTAAAACTTAGCTAAGAGAACACACAGAACAATAGTAGGATAGATCCCATTTCATTAAATACCTTGTAACTTGCCTCATATGTTTATTATAAGAAGAAATTCTGATACCAGATACAATATCCATGGATTAAGGAAAGAATGCAAATCTGGTAGAGAAAGATTGGACCAAGCTGCATAACTGCGTATTTCTTTGTTCTGCAGCCAGATTTGAAGCCTGGATAGCTCATTTATCTTCTACACTTACTTCACTACAGATTCATTCTTACAGCTATGAATTATAGACTTATCAGCTTATAGACAGCTACTCCACTAAAACAATTATCCTATTCAATTACCTGCTTTTCTAGAAGAATCCTGGGTTTTGCTGACCAGACTTAACAGAAGAACAGCTGCTCCAGTTTGTTTGTTTATTTATTCATTTACAGTTTGCCCTGCCTTTCTATTCAAATAAGCACGTACAATTGCTAATTTTAAAGCACGAAACAGCTGATTTAAAAACATGATGAATATAGGTAATCCTCAACTTACTACCACAATTGGGTCCAAAATTTTATGATACTTTTGTGACATTTGTTAAGCGAATCACTGAATTAAATGGATCATGTGGCTGTTAAGCAAATCCACTTTCCCCCAGTGACTTTGCTTATTGGAAGCCAGTTGGGAAGATTGCAAATGGAAATCACATGGCCCCAGGACACTGCAACTATTCTAAATACATGCTGGTTGCCAAGCCCTCAAATTCTGATCATGTGACTGTGGGAATGCTGCAACAATTGTAAGTGTGATGTATTGTTGTAAGTCACATTTTTCAGTACTGTTGCAACAGTCTCTAATTGAATGGTTGTAAGTTGACGACTACCAGTACTAAAATAATGTGATCAACACAAGCCTGGCAAAAGAACTTTTCCTTTATGGATTTCTTAAATGCTGAGGGCCTGGAGAACACTAATATTGCAAGGTGCCTTCCACATCTTGAGACTGACCAAGTTACTGACAATGGGGACATTTCAAGAGGATCTCTCCTGCAGATCTTAATGCCAGAGAGGGCAGCAAGGAGAGGAGTTTTGCACAACAAGATGCTGATGGGGTTGTAAAAATCAGGGCTAGAGATATGTGCAAACTACTATTCCATTTTTTTTAGGACCATACCAATTCAGCTATTCCAGAAATGATGCAGTGAGTTTGTTTCAGTTGGATGTTTTCTGATGCCTCAGATGTGATTTGGTTCCAATTTTATCTGGAACACCACACACCAGTAGTGGGTTCCACTTATCTTCGCTACGGGTTCGGAACTGTGAGCATGCGCATGCAGGCACTCATTTCGCTCGTGCACGGCGCTTATGCACATGGGCAGAATCTTCTGCACATGAGCAGAGCGGCCATGATGATGTCTGGGCAGGTGAGCAGAGCCTCCCACCACCGCCACTACCGGTCACCTAAACCGGGGCAAACTGGTAGAAACCCACCACTGCCACACACTGGTACTAGTTCAAACAAGTCCACTAGTACAGGAAGATAGGATGGCATAGGGAAGAAATGGAATGTTCCAGAAATCTCTGAAATGTTTGTTGCGGATAGGTTTTTCACATGCCTTGCAATACCAACATGAAACTTTTTGTGGAGATGCCAATGGATTGGCTACCCAGGAGCAATCTGTGCCCAGCAAATTATGGTGGCCTCCTTCCTTTGCAGCAATCTGAGGCTGATAACCATTAGTGGTCTTCACACTATGACTAGTCCTTTTCAATGGGCCTCCAAATATACCTTATACACCCATATCTCCTGCAATTCTTTGATTAAAAGTTTATTATAAGAAGGCTAAATGATTAACAAGATGTTTGCTTTCAGAGATCCAAATACCATTTTCAGAGGAAACTCATTAACTTCCAAGTGCATTGATGAAACCATGAAACTAGCAGGGAAGCATTATCTTCAAGTCACACTGAAGCCTATTATTGATGAGGTTAGTTTACCTTTATTAGCAGAACATGCAATATCTTTTTATGGTTGTGTTTGACCATCAGCAATGTTCCAAGTCAAGAACATATAAACAGTATGTTACAGAAGTAAACATTTGTTTCTAAAAAAGAATGCAATCTACATACAAAAGAAGCAATTGGTATAAATAACTATTTTTAGATCCAGAAAAAAATGTTTTTTTCTTAAATTTATGGCAATACTTGTTATCTCCATATTACAGTTGTCTTGTCTTTTTTCCAATGACAGAAATAAGCAAACCACATATTTCCTTTAGTTGATTCAGCATTTTCCGAGTTGATAATGTCATGGCTAGCCCATAATCTATGCTATTTTAAAAAAACATTGCAGTTTGCAACACCATGTCATAGTCATGTTTTGTCTTATTCAAAACAATGAGATTTTCCCCCTTAAATATTCTTTTGATAGAATATTGATAACATTGGAGTCCATTAGAATTAGGTGGCTAATAAATTTAAATATATAGAATAACTAACTAACTAACTAAATACTATTTCAAAGCACTGGAGAAAGTTTAAAAACTACAACTGCATTTTTTTGTAGACCATTTATTTTCAAATGATAACGTTTTCTCTACAGCCTAAATATTTGTGTCCTTACCTCATTTTCCTTAATCATCATGTGCACCACATTAGCAATGTCAATAAACACAGTTAAGACTGGAATTTACATTTTAGCCAGTATTGGAAATTAGATTTGCAATGGGTTTATAAATCTCTCAATCAGAAAAAATGGTTAGTGTCACTGCCAAAGTAAAAAGAAATAAGAAATTGAACCCAAGAAAGAACATTGTTTTCAAATCATTTATTCCTATAAAACAACTTCAGTAGGACAAATTTCATCTGAAAATTGAGACATGTCAAATCCCATTGGTAACTAATCCATTACACCGATATCAGCTATGTATTTTCTTTCTTATTTTTCACAGATCTGCCAACTCCATAAACCTTGTGAAATTGATCCAGTAAAGTTGAAAGATGCTGAAAATTTGGAAAATAATAGGGTAGGTAGTTCAAGTGATGGGGAGAAAATCAGTTTTTCACCTATGAAAATGATTACTCCTTGAAATGTGTTACCAAGTGTAAACTAGATGGGACTAGACCATTGTTTTCAATACAAATGTAATTACGATGTGAATTTGCTACTCTTCTCTGCAACAGGGTGATACCGATCCCAGTTTCCAGATGTTGAAAATTATATTTCTTAGGGAGGAGACCACTGTACCTCAGACAGCTGGTTGTGAGTCCCTCCTTGTGAAATGGGGCCATGGGGTTCAGATGGGTTTGCTGATCACGTACCTGGCTCCCTGCCGCGTGGCAGCAACCCTGCCTGAGCTACTCAACGTTATTGCTGCGGTGGCGGTTGATACCCCCAGACTTATGGTCATGGGGGATTTCAACCTGCCGTCCGTGGGTGAGACGTCTGAGGTGGCTCGGGAGTTCATGGCTTCCATGACGGCCATGGATCTGACCCAACTAATTCATGGCCCTACGCACACTGGGGGAAACACACTGGACTTGCTTTTTGTCTCTGGACAGTGGTTGAGTGATCTTGAGATAGGGGATGTAGTCATCGAGCCCTTGTCATGGTCGGATCACTCTCTCCTTCGCCTTGACCTTCGTACCGCGACACCCCGCTGCAGGGAGGCGGAACCGATAAGATGGTACCGCCCCAGGTGCCTGATGGAACCCGATAGGTTCCAGACGGAGCTTGGGCCAATTCCTGAGGTTCTGGCTCACGCCTCGACTGGAGACCTAGTGGCCGCCTGGGATAGGGCGGCCGCTGGGGCCCTGGATCGAGTCGTGCCTTTGCGGCCTCTGACCCGGCGCGGATCTCGCCTGGCTCCTTAGTTCACCGAGGAGCTGAGGGAGATGAAGCGCCGGAAAAGACGCCTAGAGAGTAGTTGGAGAGCTAGTCTTTCTGAATCGGACCGGACACTGGTTAGATCCCATATTAGGACTTACCTAGTGGCGATAAAAGCAGCAAAATGTATGCATTTTGCTGCTCTTATTGCGTCATCAGATAATCGCCCGGCCGCCCTGTTTAGGGTGACCCGCTCCCTGCTCCACCAGGAAGCGCGGGAGGACCCCTTGGAGGGAAGAGCCGAGGACTTTGTTCAGTATCTGTATGACAAAATCACTCAGATTCGGGAAGGTCTGGACTCTGACTGGGTAGATCCAGCGAGAGTGACGGAGGCAGGTCTTGAGACTGTTATCTGGGATGAGTTTGATCCTGTGACCCCAGATGACGTGGACAGGATTCTGGGTAGATTGAACGCGACCACATGTTTGTTGGACCCGTGTCCCTCCTGGTTAGTGCTGGCTTCCCGGGAGGTGAAGCGAGGCTGGCTCCAGGGGATTATAAATGCTTCATTGGGTGAGGGTGTCTTCCCCGCCGCCCTTAAGGAGGCGGTGGTGAGGCCCCTCCTCAAGAAGCCTTCCCTGGACCCGGCAATATTGGCTAATTATCGTCCAGTCTCCAACCTTCGTTTTGTGGCGAAGGTTGTTGAGAGTGTGGTTGCGGGACAGCTTCCCCAGTACCTGGATGAAGCGTCGTATCTGGATCCATTCCAGTCGGGTTTCAGGCCTGGATACAGCACGGAAACGGCATTGGTCGCGTTGGTCGATGATCTCTGGAGGGCTCGGGACAGGGGCTGCTCCTCTGTCCTGGTCCTGTTAGATCTCTCAGCGGCTTTTGATACCATCGACCATGGTATCATGCTGCACCGGTTGGAAGAGTTGGGGGTGGGAGGCACCGTACTAAGGTGGTTCTCCTCCTTTCTCTCCGACCGGTCGCAGTCTGTGTTGACAGGGGGGCAGAGGTCGACCCCGAGGCCCCTCATATGTGGGGTGCCGCAGGGATCGATCCTCTCGCCCCTTTTGTTCAACATTTATGTAAAGCCGCTGGGCGAGATCATCCGTGGTTTTGGGGTGAAGCACCATCAGTACGCGGATGACACCCAGCTGTACATCTCCACCCCGGACCACCCCAACGATGCCCTTGAAGTGATGTCCCAGTGCCTGGAGGCCGTACGGATCTGGATGGGGAGGAACAGGCTCAGGCTCAACCCATCCAAGACCGAGTGGCTGTGGTTTCCGACGTCCCGATATAGTCAGCTAATGCCATCGCTGACTATTGGGGGCAAATCATTGGCCCCCACGGATAGGGCTCGCAACTTGGGTGTCCTCCTGGATTCACGGCTGTCGTTAGAAGAGCATGTGACGGCCGTGTCCGGGAGGATTTTTCATCAGGTTCGCCTGATTCGCCAGTTGCGTCCCTATCTAGATCGGGACTCCCTACACACAGTCACTCATGCCCTCGTTACTTCTCGTCTGGATTACTGCAACGCTCTCTACATGGGGCTCCCCTTGAGGTGCACTCGGAGGCTCCAACTGGCGCAGAGTGCGGCCGCGCGGGTAGTGATGGGAGCGACATGGAGTTCCCATGTGACACCTCTCCTGCGCGAGCTGCACTGGCTCCCGGTGGTCTTCCGAGTGCGCTTCAAGGTTCTGGTTATCACCTTCAAAGCGCTCCATGGCTTAGGACCTGGTTATTTACGGGACCGCCTGCTACCACCAATAGCCTCCCACCGGCCAGTACGCTCCCATAGAGAGGGGCTCCTCCGGGTGCCGTCGGCCAAACAATGTCGGCTGTCGGCCCCTAGGGGGAGAGCCTTCTCTGTGGGGGCACCTACGATTTGGAACGAGCTCCCCCCGGAGATACGTAGGATCCCGGATCTGCGCACCTTCCGCCGCGCGCTTAAGACCTTTCTATTTTATCAAGCTGGCCTGGCCTAAATCTTCCCCCTTTTTAAATGTGGAAATTTTAAATTTTTAAATTTTAAATTCGTCTTTTTATAGGGGTATGGGTAAGGCATTTTAAATTGGGGAGCCATTTTAGATTTAATTCTGTTTTAAACGTATTTTTAATTGTTTGTATTGTATGTTTTTAACTTTGGCTGTTCACCGCCCCGAGTCCTTCGGGAGAGGGGGCGGTATAAAAAATCTAATAAATAAATAAATAAATAAATAAATAAAATATTTCATAAAGATTGTTTCATATATTACCAGATTTCAACACAAAAAGAAAGAAAGGAAAAAAGTAGTTTTTGATGTCAGGCAGGCATTTTTTCTGGCATGGAATCCCACCAGAGCCTCCATTTAGTTCATCTTCTAGAACAGGGGTGTCAAACTCAATTTCATTGAAGACCGCATCAAGGTTGTGTTTGACCTCGGGGGGCTGGGGTGAGCATGGCCAGGGTGGGCGTGGCTATCTTGACATCACTTGTGTCAGGGGCACCTGTGGTGGCCATGGTGCCTCTGCCAGAGAAAACAGGCTCCTGAGGCCCCCCCCCCTCCCAAGCTCCGTTCTCACTGGCAGAGGGTTGCAGAAGGCTGTCCCAGCCGAAAACGGAGCTTGGGAGCTTGTTTTCTCTGGCAGAAGCACCAAGGGCCGATCCTTCGCTCTTTCCAGGGTGGTCCCGTGGGCCAGATCTAAGCACCCCGTGGGGTGGATCTGGCCCCTAGGCCTTGAGTTTGACACCCCTGTTCTAGAATGTGAGCACCTAATATTTCACACAAAATCAAAATATCAAAATTCATCTATACATGTGGCTTTATATATGTGTGTGTGTGTGTGTGTTGTAAGCAGTACTATAATCTATTTTGGGGTTTCATATAAATTCATCTATATTGAAGCACTTCTAAATGGGAATATTCTTATTTGTAAGTATTTCTAAAATTACTTACTGATGGCTTATTTCAGTAGTGGTTTGCAATAGGACTCCTGTTTTATGTGCCGTAAGTTAGACACATGATACATTTTAAAGACATAGATTTGGATTTAAAAATAATGTATGAAGGTGTAATACAGAATAACTAATAGTACAACATAGCCAAATAATGCTTCAGAAACAATTTATATGATTTTCTGAAAGGCTATTAATCCTGGTTTTGTCATTGACCTGGGGAATCCATGGAAATATGAGTATATTCTTTGGAAGTTTGGAGAGCACACTCTCATGGTTTGGTTTTGTTACAGTTTTAAATTTATTTCAATGGTTTTGTTTTTAATTACTTCCCCCCAAGTTATTTATTTTATTTTACATATACATATCAATGTGTGGCACCTGGGTGTCATACATTCTAATACAAATAAAACTAGTAAAATTAATCATAGTTATTGCATTCAACCAACTTATATATTTCTAATAATAATACACATTTATATTAAGTTGTAGTCTATCATTATTTAATTATTCCATGTTTTAATATATTGCTCAATTACCACTCACCATATTATTTGATCATACATAATAATACCGCCATTCAATTTCTAAACTTTCCTCTTGTAATTGCTTTTATTTTATTATGTAAAAATGTATACACTAATATTCCCCCTTTCTCTTATTTCTATCTCTATTCTAACTTTTAATCAGGTCACCCTTTTATTAAAAGACTTTTTCTTTCTATCCAACATCTCTCGCCCACTTTGGTGCTATGAATCCTGTTCATTTTTAACCTACCTCCCATATTTCCCTCTACATCTATTTGTATTAAGATACAATCATCCATTATTTCATTATTCAATGTTTCAATACACAATTCTAATACCAATCCCAATATTATTTAGACATACAAAATTATTCTAATCATATTTTTTACAATCATCAAATCTATATAATTCTGATAGTAATATACATGTTTATATTAAAGTATATTCTTTCATTCTTTAATTGCTCAATGTTTCAATATATTATTTCAATGCTAATCACAATATTATTAAAACATAGTCACATGTGTGAGATGGGCAGCTATAAAAACTGAATGAATGAATGAATATAATTATAGTATTTCAAAATAAAAATTTAAGAAGTCATAATCTGATTAAATTTCTTGTTAGATATAGGAACACTAGAGGATTGTAACATAAATTGAGCATGGCAGATACCATTACTATCATACGTGGGATATGGTTTTGAAAATATTTGTGAATAGATTTTTGAAAGTAATTTGAATTAATGGATGTTTCAGAGGGCCTTAACAACTGTCTCTTGGCCCAGGCTTTTGGCTACGTCATATGATCACTTTTTGCACCATTCTGACAAGCAAAATCAATGGAAAATACAGATTACAATTGGGTTACTAACTTATCAACTACAATGAATCACTTAACATCTGTGGCAAGAAGGTCATAAAATGGGGCAAAACTCCCTTACAAATGTCTCACTTAACAGAAATTTTGGGCTCAGTTGTGGTCCTAAATTGAGGACTACCTGTATTAGTATAAGATGGTTTAATGTAATATAATTACTAATATAATGACATTGCTTATAATAATCAAATTCTATTAATATGAAAATTAATTAAAATGTACCTTGTTCAATGTTTTAAAGGTCTGAAATTATTTTGGAATTAATGTTTTATGTTCTTCATTTTTATTCTAGGAAAATCTTAGGCAGTATGTAGATCGAATTTTCACAGTTATTACAAAATCTGGGGTCAGTTGCCCTACAGTGATGTGTGACATCTTTTTTTCATTGAGGGAATCAGCAGCTATACGTTTCCAAGGTAATATAAAACTTAAACTCTTTTTTGCTCTCCCGTTTAACCTAATTGGAACATTCTCTATTGTAGATTCTTGTGAAGCCATTTTACTATATAGCAATAGCACTTAGACTTACATACTGCTTCACAGTGCTTTTACAGCCCCTCTCTAAGCAGTTTACAGAGTCAGCATATTGCCCCCAATAATCTGAGTCCTTATTTTACCCACCTTGGAAGGATGGAAGGCTGAGTCAACTTTGAGCCTGGTGAAATTCGAACTGCCAAATTGCAAGCAGTCGGCAGTCAGCAAAAGCAGCCTGCAATACTATATTCTAACCACTGCTCCACTGCAGCTCTTCTATGTTTCTGATATGTGTGTACATTTGTATAGACATCTTACTTGTGAGCTACAGTAGTGTGTTTATACATCCTTATTTAAATAGTACATTTCGTATGAAATTTAATGAGATTTGTGGTCTATCTTATATTTGAAAGAAATGAATTAGTAGAACAGTACCATCAGGGTCAAAATTAATATTCATACAGTAGAATCTCAACATTATTACATATTTAATATTAGAATTAGTATTCATAATATTAGCAATAGCAATAGCACTTACACTTAAATACTGCTCCATAGTGCTTTACAGTCTGGGCTGTTTACAATGTCAGCATATTGCCTCCAACAATCTGGGTCATTTTGATGACACTATGGCACTATTTTTACCTCATTTTACCAATCTTGGAAGGATGGAAAGTGAGTGAACGTTAAGTTCCATCAGGATGGAACTCCAGACTGTTGCCTGCAATATTGCATTCTAACCACTGCACCACTCGATCTCCATAATGAAAAAGAGAAAAGGTGAAAAAAGGTCTGGAAAAAGAAATTCAGGGAGCACACTGAACTTCAAATAAATATGACACTATTGTTAGATAGTGTTCTCCTCATTTTCATCCTAATAACGGGGCACTTAGGGAAGTAAAAAAAAGTTCAGTGAACAAATAAGGTAAGTGAACAATATTAAAGATATCCTTGGAAGGAGTTTTACTAGGAACCAATCAAGGAGGAATAAATTTGTCAAGAGGTTGGACATTAACTAATCGCTACTATTGAATCATGTTATTACTGGATGTTTTGATGACAGAAGAAGCTTAATAGTTGTCAGGATGACACTTCAAATGGGAGGTTTATAAAATTTTATAGTTTTAATTCGTATGCTCATCAGTGACCCAAATAAATAAACATTAACAACAATTGCCTTCCACTTAGGCAATTTGGCAGCTATTGAAAAAGAGGCGATGGGTAATCTCTATATAATATAAAAGCCTTCAAAGATATTACTAGTATTGTAAATTCTAAACTGAATGTAGCTGAGAAAAGATTATCTCAGCTGAAAGAAGGGGAAGTCATACATCTATAATTGCTTTATAATTGTTTCAAGATTATTAAGGGGAATTCAGAAATCATCTCATAATCACACTGAAACTGAAATATATCCCATATGTCTTTAAACTCCTGTTGAAGGAGGAAGATCATGTTCTTTCCCTTATGTTTTGTGTTTTGTTGTTATCCTTATTTTTATCCAGATTGTTAACTATCTTCATTTTGGAGATTAAATTATGCATTCACTTATGATAACTGTATATCCTTGGCTGCAGAGGAAGATTATGAATTGCAGTTATTTCCACAGATGTGATCAGAATACATGTTCAAATAATGGTCATTAAGCATATTGCTGACCCTGACACTTCTTATTTTACCACCTAAATGCTTAACTATCCATTCCCACTGTATTAAGTTTATTTTTAGATTACTCTTGGCATACTCAACTCTTGTTTTCATGGGCAGAAGCATCTCTTATATATTGACCTTTCCCCTTATTTTGACAAAATGGAATTTGGATAGCAAGTCCTCCCATCTTTTTACTCGCAATTGTGCATCTTAACATTTTTCCCTGGGTTGATTGGGATGTTTTCATCTATTACTCTCTCCTTTTTGGGGTGGTCTGAACCATTTTTCAGAGTAGAATCACAACATGATCATTTGTATTCTGTTTTAAAATCATAGACGACCCAGATGTGAGGTACACAGCAGTAAGCAGCTTTATTTTTCTGAGATTCTTTGCTCCTGCAATTCTTTCTCCAAACCTTTTTCATCTTACACCGCATCACCCAGTAAGTACTTCAAGCTTCAGGAGGTCAATGACGAGCCCATTGTGTCCATCCCTTTGAGGCCCTGTGTCTTATTTACTGTTGGCTCTTTTTCATTATTTGGGTTTTAGACTTTATCTGGCTAGTAACAAGTTATAATTTGCATTACTTTTTTACAATTCAAATGCTGAAATGGACAATATTTAAATATGTACACAAGATATTAATATGAGTGTTTAAACTTCATGTCAAATATCATACGTGGCCATTCCTAAAAGGTGATAAAATGTGAACAAGAAATATTTACCATAAGATTGAGAACTTTTAAAGGCAGGCACTGTTCCAGCATTAGACATAAAAAGAGTAAGTGGTGAAAATTTGGAAAAGTCAAGAATTAAGTAAATGGTGGAGAACTGACTCATGAGGAAAATTAACTTGTTCATCTGCATATGTGAAGAATTATTTTTGTTTCTTTATATACAACAATTTAGTTTTAAAATTCAAATATATCTTATTAATGTACAGCAATTTGCTGCTGAAAAAAAAACGTTAAAAGCATAATTCAGTTATGGAATTCTGTAAATGTGCATATTCCTTTGTATTCTTAGTAAAAAAAAAAAAGTTTTATTTCCAAATTGGCAATTAGCATTTTTCTCCAGGCTGAATTCTTTTCAACACAAAATTATTTTCAGCCTGGTTCTGTAAATAGCATATTTACTTAATTCTGCAATGTTGGGTCTTTCAAAGGAAACTTAATAGAAATTTTGGGGCAGCTACTAAGAGAATTCTGTTCTTTTAAGTTTTTTCTGCCTACCAAAAAATTAAAATTTTATTGGTCCAACTGGAAAATAATAAAATGTTCTTAACCACTAGCCATTAAACTAAGCAGAGTAGCTGGAGATTCTTGCCAGATGCAAAAGTCCTTAAAATTTCTTCTCACTTATTCACTTAAATTTTACGTACAGAGTAAGAAAATGCATTTTAATGAACGTAAACTAGAAGCTAGCTTTTATGGTTTCCCACAACAAATTATAACATGGTCGTTTTCTCCTTTGTATAGGATCCACAAACTTCAAGAACTTTGACACTGATCTCTAAAACCATACAAACATTGGGCAGTTTATCAAAGTCTAAGTCTGTAAGTATTTCATGGTTTTTTCCCACTACAAAACTTTTTCAATATCCTGAATTATGATTACATTTGCACTTCTGTAATTAAAGCCTTCTCTAAAGTGGCACCGCATGAGTCAAAATAGAAGTATTTCTAGCTATGTTGATCGCTTTGAGTTGATCAAAATATATTTTTAAGAGGGTGAAAAATAATAATATCAGTTGAAACCAGAGGTGAAATCTACTTACTTTCCTTACCGGTTCAGAAGTGCACATGCCGCACGCACATCAGATGCACGCACAGACCTAAAAAACACATTACTTCCTGGTTAAAACCAGGAAGTAATGACACCCGGGCAGGTAGGCGGAGCCTCGCACCACCATTGCTACTGGTTCTCCGAACCACCTGCCACAATCGCTACCGGATCGCCTGATCCGGTCCAAACCAGGAGCATTTCACCCTCGTCGAAAACCATCAAATGATTGAAAGTGCATATTGTGCAAAAAAGCAAAAGAAATAGTAGATCATATACTCAGTTCATGCAAAAAGATCACACAAACTGTTAATATACAATGACATAATGCAATTACCAAAATGACTCACTGGAACATCTGTAAAAATTATCATGTACCAGTTATGAACATAGAATACCAAAAGTAATAAATTAGCAGGTTAAAATATTGTGAGATTTCTGAAAAGAGACTGATAAAATCTTGGCTCAAAGTAAACCAGATATAACTGCAGTTGAAAAGAAGAAAATGTGGATAATTGATGTGGCAATTCCAGGGGATAGTAGAATAGAAGACAAAGGATTGGAAAAGATCACAAAATATCAAGATCTGAAAATCAAAATTAAAAGTGAAAGATTCTGGCATAAACTGGCCGTGATGTCCTAGGGATATTAGCATAGTGGGTGCTGTACCAAAAAATCTTGGATGCCACTTAGAAAATTGGTTCATTGACAGAATTTCCCTCTATTAATTGCAAAAAGCCACACTGCTTGGGTCTGCATCTAATACCACACTGATACAATAAGACGTCCTAAATCCCCTGATGTGTACAAAGGACAACTGAACAGATAGTAGTAAGAATAAGCTAATATGGAATATTTTTTATTTGATTGTACTATAATCTGTATAAATCCATGTTTTTATCAGCTTGGGAGGGAAGAAAGAGCAGGACGCAAAAACAATGCAGGTCTTGAGAATATATGAATTGTGATGCAGGAGTTTCTCTAAACTGGCAAAAAAAACCCTGAGAGATGATTCACATTATCCACTCAGTATGGCCATCCGTTTTCCCTTTAGAGCTTAAAGTTTGTTTGTGAGCCACATGTCCTATGAACTAATACTCCTGACTTGTTTCTAGCCTTAAATCAAAACCTAGGCCATCAGGAAGAGTTTTTTAAACCGTTTTTTTTTAACCATAGAAAATTATTCATCCATGAGTTAATGAATCTGATTTTTTTCCCTGTATTTTGAGCTCAAGTTTCATGATCAAAATGGTGATTTTATTTCAGGCTAGTTTCAAGGAATCATATATGGCTATATTTTATGACTACTTTAATGAGCAAAAATATGCAGATGCAGTAAAAAATGTAAGTATTAGAAATAATCTTTTGTCTGCTTTGGGGGAATACCAGCCAATTCCTTAAATTATTATTTATTATTTTTAAAAGAACGTTTTATAGATTTCATGAATTTATGAATGACAATATTTTATGAAGACTGAAGTACATGTCTGTATTCTAAATAATTAATTAGAAATAAAAATATAATAATGGAAAAGATGGGGAAATATGGAAATAAATCTTTTGGCCACTGAATGGGTTTTAGCATATTGATTTAAAGTTTTCTTCAATAGATATCTTTAGAGTTGCAATAAACAGTATGAAATAGTGCCATAGTATCATCATTTTGAACATTCTCAGATATTTGAACATTCAGGAAGGGTAGGATGGGGTTTTTTATATTTCAGTAGCTTAGCTATAAAAAAAATATACCTTTAGACTATATACCAACTTTCTATTACTTCTAGATTTATTGGGGCTATAAAATACAGAATTAACAACCATCCATTCACCATTGAAATATGTTAAAGATTATGCTCCCAATACCTTTGGGGAACATTGGAATGGGGAAGATTGTTTAGATGTTTTTTTTTCCTTTTCCTTCCCGTGCTAATCAGCCATCTGCCATATGGATTAGTAAGACATTTGTGAACAATATATTTGACAATACTCTTATCAAAATGTCTGCATCTCCTATACAGAATCCATTGACAAAACATTCAAGCCTTTCATTCACTTTTAATTCATTGTTGCCCTCCATACCTGTTCAACTGCAGGTCTTTTAATTCTAAACCAATGTAGATTAGAGACTATTATATAGGGTGGAATTTATAATAGCTGGATTCCCACATGTTTGAAGGGCACAGGTCTATCAGAAATAGACTGATTTAGGTATCCTCCAATGAATGTGGAAGCAAGCATTGCACCAGCTTCGATTGCAGCTGCAATAAAATATCAAAATTAAGCCTCAGGAGAAGGAGAATAAATACCGTATTTTTCGGAGTATAAAACGGACCGGAGTATAAGACACACCTACCTTTTTTGGTGAGGAAAAGAAGAAAAAGAAATCTCCCTCTGCCTCTGAGCAATTTTGCCTCCTTGCAGCAAACAGCAAACAACCTGCTTTACTTTCAGTTTCATTTTCAGCATAGCTTGATTAGTACAAGGAAAAAAAATCTGCTCCAGCAATTTACCTCTTTGCAGCAAGCAGCAGAGGCAAAACAGCTGAGAGCAAATCAGCTGAGAGTCGGGAGGCAGATAGAATCAACTTGTGCTAATTAGGCTGTGCTGAAGCTGAAAGGAGCTGTTTTTTCTTGCTGTTTGCTTGCAAGGAGGTAACTGCTGCGAGGCACAGGCCAAAGGGTGGGGGCCAGTGGGTGGGCGGGGCTACATTCAGTGTATAAGACGCACCTAAATTTTCACCCCCTTTTAGAGGGGAAGAAAGGTGCATCATATACTCCAAAAAATACGGTAGACATAATGTATGCAGACCCATAATATGATTAAGCATAAGATATTTAACATATTTTATTTGTACATGAGGAATTATTAATTCCTTTCTGTTTCTTATTAGCCAATAAATCGGTGTTTTAAAACTTGAACTTACTTGCTCCAACAAGTAAGAATTAGATGACATCCATGTTAAATGTTTATTTCATGTCTATTCATTGTTTGCTCCAAGTTCTTAGATTTGATTTCATCCTCCGGAAGGAGAGATCACAAAATTATAGAACAACCAATACTACTTAAAGAAGGGTGAGCTTACATCAGTGTTGTTTTTTCCAAATGTGTAAGATTAAATGTTTCACCTTCTGTTAATAATGGGTCTAGCAGGGTTCTATAAAGTTCTATGTAAGTTTTGTGCTGTCTAATATATGTCAAAGGCTTGGGTGCGGAAATAAAAAAAATAAAAAAGTTGAATTAAAAGAAGTGCAAATAATTACTCTTAAGTTTTTAGAAGATTGGATTATTGTTGAAAACGCCAACTTTTTCCCCATTAGAAATATTTCCCAAATACCAAAAACATGAAATATAATTAACTACAAGGTAAAAAGGATACCTGCTTCTAAATGCAATTAATTTTAATTAGATCCATGACATGTACCTGCCATCTTAAACTTTATTGCTTTCTTTTTAAAAATATTTCTACTGTCTGTAAAAAGCACAAATACAGTATTTGACTTTCTAACCTCCCCTTTTTAACAAAAAATGAACTTCTGCAACTGTATTTTCGTTCTCTGATTTTTATTGTCTTTGCTTGGCCTGCTGTGTTAAATATGCTTAAATAACTTTAAAGAAAGTTAATAATATTTCATGGAGATAAGATGGTAAAGACAGATGAGACTTAGCTGTAGCTTTCTGTCATATAATATACTGGGTACTTCCTCTTTTATTAAGCACCTCAGTTAAGGGCTTTGACTATTCAGCTACAAGTTCCTAAATGTATCAGTGTTTATGAATATAGAAAAAGATGCCTCATAGCAGATGTTGGTCTGCTTGCTGTACTTGTTGGTGCTTCCCAGTGGGTGGGTTTCAAATTTTTTTACTACCGGTTCTGTGGGTGTGGCTTGGTGAGCGTGGTGTGGCTTGGTGGGCGCGGGAAGGATACTGTAAAATCTCCATTCTCTCTCCAATCCAGGGGAAAGTTACTGCAAAATCCCCATTACCTCCTGATCAGCTGGGACTTGGGAGGCAGAGAATAGATTGGGGCGGGGCAGTCAGAATTTTTATTACCGAACTTCTCCGAACTTCTCAAAATTTCCGCTACCGGTTCTCCAGAACCTGCTGAAACCCACCTCTGGTGCTTCCTTAAAGAACACATACCTTTTCCTGGGCTTAGATGGTGGCTGCGCAATTCAGAAAAATACATATTTGACTTAAAAAAAATATCAACATGATCTTATCTCTCTAGTGCCTCCTTAACTGAAATGTGTAGTTTTTTATGAGGATGCAGCTATATTATGGTTTGACTTTGACCATGATTTCTATAGTGCAAAGCTTCCCAGCCTTTAAGAGATTTTTCAAGACTGCTTGCTTTATAAGAAGAGCACAATTTCTGACAAGGACCAGGCTGAGTATATCTTTATGTAAAACTGCTGTGGATTTTTTTACAATAGGTTTATGATCAAAAGGGCACAAGGCAGGAAAAGATTTGGCATGAAGAACTTCAAGAAGAGGTGGTTTCGGCTCAGCAATCATGAATTTACCTATCAGAAAAGCAAAGGTACTAACATTTTTGTTTCCCTTTTAATTTAAACATTAATACACTGTTTTCCAGGAGAAAGTTCATCAAAAACCCCAAACCCACAAATGGTGATTAATAATTTAAGGGGCACAGAATAATGCACTTATGACCTGAACACATACATGTATTTGTATACACAGGGAGTTTTGAAACATTTTTTTCTGGTAATTATCCACCATTTAGGTGATCATCCATTATGCAGCATTCCAATTGAAAACATTCTGGCAGTAGAAAAGTTGGAAGAAGAATCCTTCAAAATGAAAAATGTAAGTACTTCTCCTTCTTAACTATTAAGTACAACCCCTACCATACACTTGTTTCTTAGAGGAACCAGTTTGGTCTAGTGGTCAAGGCACCATGGTAGAAACTGGGAGACTATGAGTTCAAATCCCAATTTAGCCATGAATGACTGATTTCGGTCAATCACTCTTTCTCAGATCACCTCAATTGTGTGTGTGTCTGTGAGTGTCTTGTAATATAAATTGCTATACAATTCATATCAAAGGATTCAGGATGCAAGCCCATCGTGTGAGTGAGAACTAGCCACTAAGCAACCCAATGATAAAAATACATATTCCTAAAAGTTGTTTTCTAAAACATTACACTTTAAGTATTGTTCCCTGTTAATAATCGATTATTTTTCTCTCTCTCCCTTTAAGATGTTCCAAGTGATTCAGCCTGAAAGAGTGCTCTATATTCAGGCCAATAATTGTGTTGAGGCCAAGGACTGGATTGATATCCTCACCAAAGTTAGCCAGTGTAACAAGAAACGGCTCACTGTCTACCATCCTTCTGCATATCTAAATGGGCACTGGCTGTGCTGCAAATCTATAGCAGATAATGCTCCTGGTTGTACTCCTTGCACTGGGTAAGGACACTTCCGGCTTTAAATTTTGCTTTAAGTATTTGATGATAAGATGTATCCCTGTGGATGATGAAAGAATGAGACCTGATGCTGTGGATAAACAGGCAGGCCTGACAACATGCATTAAACACTCCCTAGTTTTTCTTCTCTATCTGGTTTTCCCTCTAGAAGCCTAGTAACTTTTTCAATATGGGACAGGTTTAGAAGATGCATTCTTAACAAGACTAGGATTATAACTGAAATTATTAAGTACGTAGGTTATGCTAGATCTTTTTATTTACTATGAATATCCTCAGTTAGCTAGGAAGGGATTTGGATGGGGTTTTTTTTGTATACTGTAGTTCTCACCAAAAGTGCATGCAACCCTTGCAACAGGCCCCCATCTTTAAAAGAAGAATTCCTGTTTCTCTATCCTATAAGAAGAGATACCTTTTCAAAAAAAGAAAAGAAAAAAGAAAATCAATCCTATCCCCAACAAAATTGTGCATCATCCAAATGCAAAATAAAAGTTTTGTTAGTATGCACTAATTCAGATGCATATTTTTGTTGATTCAAGTCATCCCATAATCAGTGCTCTTTGTGTGCTTCTTCTGGAGGTATAGATTTGCTTAGTGGCTTAGAATGAATTTTCCTGGACATGGATGTGCAGGCCATGTGACTCATTGCTATGATTATTTCATGCTAGCGCAGTGCATTTTATATGGAGTCATTCCTGAATGAGATTTGGAAAAGCTTATACAGAGCATGGCATCAAGGTTTCTGTCTGAAACATCTTTTAGAACCCATGTTACAGTGATCCTAAAGGACCAAGATTGGCTGCAAATATATAGCATTCTTCAAAATTTTAGTAATATGTAAGCTATAAAGTCCTTAATGAGTTAGGAGTCTGATGGTCAGAGAACATCCTTCCCGGTTTCAACCTGTTGAAGTATTAAGATCTGCAAGTATGATGGAGGTAAGGAAGAACCTTGAAAAACAGGAGAAGAACCCCTACCAAGACAACCATCAGATAAAAGAAATCTGGGTTTGGACCAGAATCAAGAAGATGTTACAGACAAAACCCTTCTTAGCTCTTAGGATGATAAAGGGACATAGGAGGGAAGCACATTCAGATTCTCTTACAATAGCTTTCTAAGAAGAGTAGTATTAGCTTGCATGGCTTGGTTTTCTAGTCTGGCCTGCCTTGAGGAGCTGACAGCAAGAAAGAAAGATAGGGGGTTCTCAGTGCTCATAATTGGAAAACAAAAGTCCTTCCTTGTGGGACATTCTGGCTTTGGAATGCCTTTTTCCTGGAAGATGAACTAGGGCAAATATGATTAAACTGTAATTAACTTTTAATATTAATTTTTAATCAATTCTTCCCTTTTAAACTTGTAATTTTCACAAACTGTTTTTTATGTTTTAATATTTGTTTACTTGTATACTGCCCAGAATCCCTCTGTGAGGGAAATGGGCAGTTTCAAAAATTTGATCAATGGATGGATGGATATGATAGATATGATCAGTGGATGGATGGATTGGATGGATGGATGGATGGATGGATGGATGGATGGAGATAGATAGATAGATAGATAGATAGATAGATAGATAGATAGATAGATAGACAGACAGACAGATAATTTTGGTTTTCATTGCCAAATTTTTAGTCATGCATTTAGTCACACATTTAATAACCTCAGCCTGATTGGCTGAAATACACTGCAGGCAGTAGAATGCTTTCTTTCTTTTATACAAATGTTATGGTTCTTGTTTGGAATGTCTCCTCCTTCCATTATTTTGTTCCTGAGAATTTCTTTGTCTCATACATCAGTTTATTAAAAATGTGTTATCAGTCTGTAATGAAAATGATTTGATTGTGAAATCCCGTTCTCTTCATCAAAACCCATTTCAACTGTTTCATAAATGAAATACAGAGTTTCAAAATTTCTTGACAATATTTAAATGATTGTGTAGGGGTCTACCAGCAAATATACAATTAGACATCGATGGGGATAGAGAAACAGAACGCATCTACTCCCTATTCAATCTATATATGACCAAACTGGAGAAAATGCAAGGTGGGTATGCAAATGAGTTATTGTTTTGTCTATAGAAACAATATATAATACAATATATGTTTTGTTTTATATAAAAATCTAATTTTAAGAGACTTCTTGAAAAACAATGGACTTTTCTTCCATTTCTGAACATTTTGTCTCTTTCTCTTTATTCTCCAATTCTGAGAAAGTCACTTTCTTTACAAAATGGGGAAAGGAGGGCAAGGAGAGCAAATGAGGAAAATAGTTTTGCAGCAAAGCAGCACAAACTCTGCTGCTTTTGTACAGGCACTGTGACATTGCACACAAAGGTTTTCCCCCCATTATTTTAATGATAGCACTGGATCCTGGGGCCACCTCTAAAGACACTTCTAGATCTTTGTGTTTAGGGACTTGTATTTTTTTTTCTTATGGCAATATTAGATTGGAAGTTAAGCATCTGAGTAGCTTTTGCCTGAATGTTTTCTTTTTTTAAATTACAGTTGCAGAGAGAGTGGGGCTATTAATCGGGTTCTTCAAGACAGAATTTTTTAAAGCATTGCCCAGGATCGCCTACTCTCACTGCACACATTCCTTTCACAATGGCTACCATTTGTACTGGGAAGATAACTTCTACTACTATCGGTGGAGGGTCTACAACAACTCATCACGGCCAACTCACTACAGCCAACTTGCCATGGCCAAGTCACTGCAGGACATGAATTACACTCATATGGAAGAAATGGTGGAATAGAATCATTAAAGAAAGAGACAAAATGAAATGTGAATGACAAAAATTAAAATAATTTTTAATTATTTTAAATAATTAAATTGAATTGTTGAATTATCCCACAGCGAGTTGTCCTGTGGCGAGCTGGCCTTGGTGAGTTGGCGGTGGCAAGTTGGCTGCAGCACGTTGTCCCATTCCAATTGGTAGAAACTTTACCCTCAGTGCAGACAGCAGCTGTTAAGATTGGTGACTTTCAGATCAGGTCCATTATCGAAAGAATGAAACCTCACTGCTTTTCATTTTGCAGTCCTATTCTAAAACGAGGACTCTTCACATCTCTTATTTGATAGATTATAATTTAGTAAAGAGATTATAAATGTAATTTATGAGATTTTAATTTGGCCAAATGGAGGTATGGGTGAGGCCACACAAGGTGAATAACAAAAACTCTAGTATAATAGTGGGATCAAGTCCTTCCTTCCCTGAGTAAGCCATAATTTAGCTATGCAAAAGTACATATAGGATGCTACAATTTTCTAGATTTTTCAGACTCTCAGGCATATTGTACACTTTACACTAACAGATGCTTTTGCAACACTTAGTTTTCTATCTAAGCCACCTGCAAAACAGTTTTCTCCTATCTGATGGCCTCAAAATGTGTTGGACTTGAACTCCCAGAATACCTACAAGTGGGCACCAGGTTGAAGAAGGCTGATATAGGCTGCAGGAATTCATATTGCCATTAATGGCCATCAGCTTAGGTAGCTTTAAAAGCAGAGAAATATATAATGTATTGTGTATGTCTTATAACATTATCATAAAAAAGAACAAATATCTTGTAAAATAAATCTTTAGCTAATACCAGTAATGGAAGGTAACTTGCTACTGTCAATAAAAACTCTTCAGCAATCTCCTTATGAATACTGTTATCTCCATGCCCACCTTGGAAGCTTCTAAAGACTCCCTGTGGATTTTCAAATGAAAACCTGATCTTACAGGATTTCTTTATATGGTCAAACTACTCTGGTGTATTATCTCTTATTCAATTTCATTCTTAAGATTGTCTTGTCATTCCCAGGATACAGCATTAACTGAATCCTGATTATGTGTAATCCTTATTAGCCTCACAAGTTATAAATCTTTCTTTTTTGAAATCTCTTTTGACAGAGGCTTGTGGCAGCAAATCAGTATATGATGGGCCAGAGCAAGAAGAATATTCAACTTTTGTCATTGATGATCCTCAAGAGACCTATAAGACACTAAAACAGATTATAGCAAATGTTAAAACCTTAGAACAGGAACATGCCCAGTACAAGAGGGATAAGTTCAAGAAGACAAAATACGGAAGCCAGTAAGTGTGGGATGCTCTCAAGCACTGTTGAAACAAGGAATGTTGGTTAAGTTTCAGTTTGCTAATGGCCTGCAATGGATAGATTTGTTGCCTTTCTTGAGTTGTTGCTCATAAAGCACTTGTTTATATTTGTAACATATTTCCACCATCTGTTCCTCTGTGGCATTGTCATTGAGCCTGTCACTCTGCTCCACCATCATATACCATGTGTCAGTAATGTTCATGTCATAGAAGGTCAATTTTCTGCAGGCTAATTTCAAATCATTAACAATTAGCAGTATGATTTTATTGAGAGCCAGAAGTTAACAGTACACTAGTTTTGCATTGACATCTTCAGAGCAGCAGCGCTTAAAGCATCTGTGCTGCTGAATATTGCATGCAAAAATGAGTTTGTCTTGGACAAAGAGAAGCATTCCACATGCTTTGTAGCTCAGTATTGGAGCATTACAGGAAAATGTTTGAAGTTCCAAGTATATGGAGTCCTTGGTGCTTTCCAAGCTTGGTTACTTTCTTGCAGACATTTCATTATTCAACTAGGTAACACCGATGAAGTTACCAATTGGGTAACGAAACCCACACAATTCAACCCACTCATCCCACATCAGCCATGCTGTCTACGGCACGCTACAGTTGATCTGAAGTGCACAGGCCAATGCCCTTTGGGTATCTGCCTCCCTCTATCTCCTGTTTCAGTCTCGTGGAGGACTGACACCTGGCCCCCACCTCGCTCCCGCCTCGCCACCCATGCCTCTCCCTGGTTCTCCAGACATGGCTATGCCGGCTTTCCCCTTCTAAAGATAAAGCAATCCAGCACGGGGGTGGGAGAGGCACACGATCCAGCCTGCCAGATTTGCCGTGCGACTGCCTGCCCCATCACAGCCATGGCCATGGGCAAACAAAAATAGATGGGATGGAGTGGGCAGGCTCTTAAGTAGGGCTTATTTTTTTTGGGTAGGACTTATATTAGGCACACACTAAAAATCATGCTAGGGTTTATTTTCTGGGTGGTCTTATTTTTGGGGAAACATGGTATTCTCTTCTCTTCTAATACTGCAATTAAAATCACAAAGTCTTGGGCAATCCCCCCTTTCTCTTGCAATACTCCATGATATTTACAGAGGAAACTAGACAAACAGTGAAATATCAGGCTATTTTATTCTGGAGAAGGTTGCCAAATACCAGAAGAAGCTGGTATTTTATTTACAGGATATTCAGTTAGATGGATTAATGACCTGTTTCTTCTGCCACATTAACCGAGAAAGGTAAATTATAATTTCAGCACAAAGCTATTTGTTTCACTCATTCACTACAAGAACAGTCACTGTCATTTTCTAACATAATCTTCCTATCAGGATATTTCTTTAACGTAATAAGGCATATCCTATGCAGGCAAATCACATACTCTGTGTCTTTTCTCGTTCTTGCTTTACAGCCTAATTTTGCCAAATCTTAATTCAGACAATCATGTGATTATTCCCTAAATCTTTGGGTTTTCAACCTGTACAATCTGTGTCACTTACAAAGATGTGTGTGTGTGTATGTGTATTTGTTTTCTGAGGTTTTCGTGGGTATTTGTATGTAGGTCTTTGGTTATTTGGGTTTTCTCCCGCGTAAAATTGGAAGTACCTTGGCGACGTTTCGACGAAGTCTCATTCGTCATCTTCAGGCTGGTGTCTTCGGCCTTGTGCTCCTAGAAGCACAAGGCCGAAGACACCAGCCGGAAGATGACGAATGAGACTTCGTCGAAACGCTACCTACCTACATACATACATACATACATACATACATACATATATATATATGTTTTTCTTTCTTTTTCATAGGTTTTATGTGTATTCTCTTTAGCCAGGTTCTACCTATGTAAACCAAGATATTATGCAGCCCTAGTTCAGTGAAATCACATAAGGCCGAAATAGATCTATCTTAGTCTCCCAATGGGCAGCAAAGGGTCTGCTGGCTGCCAGAAGAAAAAAAAGCCCAGAAACTAGTGAATTGTGATTTCACTCCATATATTTTTGTGGAGGATTTTTCTTTTTAATCTGAAAATGAAGAATAAACATGTCGATCTTTCCTTCATCTTTTTCCTCTTTCTTTTCACTTTCTAGGGAACACCCCATTGGTGACAAGAGCTTCCAAAGTTACATAAGGCAACAGTCAGAAATCTCAGCTCATTCCATTTGAAGTCTGAAGAAAGTTATTAGATGGTGTAGCTGAAGGACTGAAGAAAGAGAAAAGCCACCTGTAGCAAGATGTACATATCAAATGTCAAGCTTGCGGAGGCTTGCTAAGTGTTTTCTCTCTCTCCAAGAACTATTACAATTGTTGCTATGCACTTTATTCATCTGGTGTTAACAGATGAAGGAACTCTGCCTTCTAGGTGGTTTTCATCATATGTGTTGTTCTGCATTTTTAAAAGTGTTGCTCTGGTTTCTTGGAATCTAGCGATCAGTTCAATGATCAAAGCCTGTGGACTTCATATTGACAACTTCCACACTCCTTTTACATGGCTGAGAGCCTTTTTCTAGATTTCTAATTTTTGATGGCTGATTAGGGGCTACTTTGCATTATGCCACAGAGCAATTAGGAAAAGCTTTGCAGCATTTGCTTTTTAATGAAGCGAAGCCCAGTTGGTTATAGATGTAATCTCTCCTCACTGGAGCTTGCCTTGACCCTAAGAAGACTGAACAACAGGGTATTTTGTTAGCATTAGCATGATATTATTGGTTTAAGAAGAACTGGCTTCTAAAAAGAAAGTCTACTATTTAATGGTACTCCCTGGAATTTTTTGATACAAAATTGTTTCCACTAAAGCAATCAATTTCTATTTTTTTTCCTATAAACTTAAAATGTTATAAACCTGAATAAATACATATTCAAACAACTTAAGTATGTATAATACAAGAATGCTCATAGAGTAGTTGCAAAAACAATGGTTTGATTATCAGAATTAACGATTTTCTACTATTTAAGGGCCATTTCAAATGCAATACATTTCTTACATCTGTAATATTCCCATGTAAGAAATAAAATCAACTGTAAGCAATTTCTCAGTGAGTGAAGTGAGCACACACTTTTTTTTTTTGATGATATTTACAGATGAAATTAGAGATAAAAATTAATCAATGAAAAGTTGACTTAATAAGTAGTACTGTAGGTGACCTCACTAGGTTCTTCCTCAGGGAATTTGGAAAGCAAAGAATGGCTATAGTCTCGGACACAAAAACCTATTTCTTCTCTAGCAAGGTTGACTGCAACATACTAAAACATTTCAGCAAGGACTAGAGACAAAGATTTTTTTACGAGATGGTTTGCACAACCTACACAGAAGTATTATCGATGTAGGAAAACATTCCATATGAAACAGACAAGACGGCCGAGCTATAATGTAATATTAACTCTTCATGCTCCCTTAAAGTTGCAAGATAAGGTGTTAGCAGCAAGATATCAGTAAAGAGATCTTAACAGAAAGTTATGGAAGCTTTATACTGAATGTTGCATGAGGCCGAAGTTCCTGTTCTCCTCGCACTACCTGATTGTTATGTATAAGCATTTAAACAAGAACTATTTCAAGAGCTGTGAGATAATGCATCTTCAATAATGAAAGATATGTTAAGTTTGGGTTGTTTTCATCACATTAACATACAGTTGTTCTTTGTTAATATGTTATGAGTAGATGCAGAGCATAAATTTTTTTAAAAAAAATCAAGATGACAACCACACAATCACAATCTTGACCTTTTAACATCCCCTCTCCACAGATTCCCCTGAATAGGTGAAATGGAATGTGTGGTGTACCTCATGAATGCAAATAAATATTGTTGGGGGGGGGTTGGTGTGGGTGGGTGTATGTGCGCTATAAAATTATAAAATGGTTTGGACCCAGATCAAGTTAGTTGCACTTTAAGCCACATTGATAGCTAGATAGTCATTTATTATGACCATCATAATCCTTGTATATTTCAGTTAACCTAGATATGCCTAACTTTCTGGATCCAACCCAATATAGCTGATTGGTTATGTCATATTTCTAAAAGTCTGATTCACTGCAGGTTGGGCTTTGACAAAAGTCAAAGTAAAGCAACGTATGTTACAGGCTAAATGAGACTACTCTTGGACCACAATAAATGAACATTCAACTTGATGCAAAGCTTCTTTAGATTCTAATATTAAAAGTGATGTCTGCAAAACTAGCCCCATATAGTCAAATCCATACAAAGAAGAGAATGACAAATCTTTTATGCAGCTTCTATTTTTAAGGGTTCTTGTTCTTAGCATTAGGCTACATTAGGAAACTACAAGGTGAGAATTTATATCCTATCAATTGCCAACAGAAGTGCTAGGGAAAAAACGGCACCATGTGCTCTGAACTGCCATTTGAAACTGCCAGTTTGTTTGTTTTTTAAAAAATGTATTTGTAACTTAATAGTCTTTTGACAAAATACTAATGACCTGCAATTTGTGTTCTATTTGCCAATTAAAAAGTGTTTTATTTCTGAAAAGCGTATGTGTATTCATTGCAAACTCAATATTGACAACCTTTTTAAAAGGTAGAAGCTGAATCTTTAGCTAGGTACACACAGTAGCTACAGCAACATTTCATCAAAGACTTTGCATTCCGAAGGGATATTGGCTTCATCTGTTTGATCAGTCAATAAATCAACTGTAATAGCCATCAATTCTCATTCACTTTGGAGAAAGCCTGCTTTTGTTTTCAAACAACATAGCAATAGCACTTAGACTTATATACCGCTTTACAGTGCTTTACAGACCTCAAAGTCAGCATATTGCCCCCAATAATTTGGGTCCTCATTTTACCCACATCGGAAGGATGGAAGGCTGAGTCTACTTTGAGCCGGGTGAGATTTGAACTGCCAAATTGCAGGTAGCCAGCAATCAGCAGAAGTAGCCTGCAGTGCTGCACTTTAACTACTGCGCTACCACGGCTCATAGAGCAGCAGAGAAGCAGTATTGCTTTGGCTATCAATGAAATCTAGTGTTAATTGGTTCAATTATAAACAAAACCCATTTTTTTTAAAAAAGAAAAAAGTTATATTTGTTCAGAAGTAATTCTTTCATATATTTTTTTTTTTTTTGGTCTTTTAATGACCCCGTAATCCCTTGCATCAGGGTGGAGTCAGGGCAACTGAATGGAGCTGAGTGTTTACTGGCTGGATGCCCTTCCTGTCGCCAATGTGGAATTCGCAGCAGATATAGTCTCATTGTGCCCAGAGAGAGAAATATCTGCCTCTACCTAGGATTGAACTCACAGCCTCCTGATTGTGAAGTGAGAGCTCCACCTCTAGGCCACCACTCTTATTCTTTAATAATGTAAGGAAGAAAATATGAAATAATATATTTTAAGAATCAGCAATCATGTTTGTAAATGTAGGTACTTCTCAATTTACAACCAATTTAGCAATCAAAGTTACAAGACACTAAAAAAAAGTGATTTATAATCCGTCCTTGCACTTTTGGCCTTCACCACCCCCACATGATCAAAATTGGGGCACTTGGCAACTGGGATGTATTTACAACGGTTACAACATCCTGGGTCATGTGATCACCATTTTTCACCTTCCCAGCTGGCTCCCGACAAGCAAAGTCAAAGAGGGAAGCTGAATTCGCTTAATAACTGCCAGATTCACTTAACTGCTTTGCTTACCAACAGAAATTCTGGTCCCAGTTGTAGTTGTGAGTCAAGGACTCTCCGTAATCAAGTAAATAATTAAATGTTCAGCTTTCAGTATTTTAACCACCACCACCACCCCGGCAAATCTTCTATACAATAGAAGATTAACTAAATTTAATCTGTGAAAAAGTTATATGCATACAATCAGCTAAATTATTTGATAGTCCATTTTTGCATTGGATAAAAAGAATACAGTATAAAATTAAAAGGCTTGGCCTTACTTAATCCATTGTTAGATTAAGTGTCTGAAAAATAAGAAAGGAATACGAAAATAAAGTGCAATTTCACCCATACGTATTCATAGCTTAACATCACAGAAGTAATTATGTAAAGAATTTTTTTGGAAATGGAAAAGTGTATGTTTCCGTCTCAATTTTTCTGTTGCATTATTTCCAGTTGACTTAGCTCCTGAAATGGATTTACTTGCATCTTTTGGTTTCTTTTGTTTCCTTTTCTCCATTTTTCCCCTAGTATTTTCCCCTTTAAAAAAACAAAAAGGAATATGGTCTTTCTGTATCAGCAGCTGAATTCTGAACGATGTATTTTGTAGAGTAATGGGAAGGTCAAAGAATTTAATGACAAAGCCCCAAATTATGTAGATGGCTTACATTGTATTTTTAAAAATCAGTAATGGTATTGGAGATAGTTAGCAATGTTAAGTATTTAATTGAATGCCAAAATCCTCCAGTAGAAATTTATTCTGCTATGCTTTTATTTTATTCTGTTAGTTCTTTGCCATTAAATATGAGTAATACTCATTTCCTGAATCATTATATCATACCAGCTACCGTGTTTTCCCAAAAATAAGACCCTATCTTATATTTTTTTGAACCCTGAAATAAGCGCTTGGCCTTATTGCCGTGCACTCAACTTAGGGTTGCCAGGTGTCCACTATTTGAGCGGACAGTCCACTTTTTTCACATTATGTTCACTATTTTTTTTTCACAAAATAGTGAACATTTTTTTTTATTCAAAAGCTTTATGATGAAATGGTACGTAAGTTTTGCGACTCAGAATTCCATAAAGTTTTGCGCCATGTTCCAACACGTTGGTTAAGTTTGTTTAAAGTGGTCGAAAGACTTCTTTTAAACTGGATACCTCTAAAATCGTATTTTATTTCTCTTGGATCTGATGAGTGCCATAAGGTTATCTGGAACCTTATTTCGGATCAGGAAAATGAACTCACAAAGGACGATGAACCAACAATTTCAGAACTGTATTTATATTTCACGCACTTCTTCATGTCAATAAGGCAAGACACCCTACTGAAGCTGGAAAGCAAGAAAATTCTTGCATGTGATCTTCACGTTATCATGTGTAAGCTGCGTGATTCTTTGCAAAAAAAAATACGATGAGCAGTTTTTTGGAATGAAAGTTTTATTTGCCTTACGTAAAAAACATTTGCCTGAGAATGCCGTACAAAAGTTCAAGAAAGAAGCCATCAACGTGTATCAAAGAGCCATTGCATACCTAGAAAAGTGGTATAATTTCACCGATTCAGTATATGAGACACTAAGTTGTTTCAATCTAACTGATCACAATAATCCTCCAACTTTAGAAGAAATGAACATCTGGTTATTATCACCATGGCGAGAAAAACTTCCACCCAACACTCTCTTCGATGAAATTTCTGCCTTAGAAGAAGTTTACGTTCATCTGCAGGGTGATTCATCCCTTGATGAGTGGATGTACTTTTTCAAGAAAGAGCCAGCTCCGAATTTACTGAAACTGTTCCAGTATTGTGCATCAATTCCGGTATCAAATGCAAACGTTGAACGAATTTTCAGCATCATGGGAAATTTGTGGACTGACGAACGTAACCGACTGCTTGTACCATCAGTTTGAAGTGAACTTTGTATATTTTTTAATATTTCTCAACGTTGTACTGAAATTAAAGAATTATTCCTTAAACACAAAGAATTGATCAAAGCTGCGCAGTCAAATAAAAAATACACACAACAGCAAAGTAAAATGTAATGTAATATTTTACATATTATTATAATATATTTGATGTTTTGAATTTTAAGTAAAGTTTTGAAGTGATTATTTTAATATGTGTTAAAATGTTTGTAAGAAAATATATAATTTAATTGTAATTTTTTTTTATTTTTTTTACTACTTAACCCCCCCACCCCCCCGCTTGTCTATTATTTTTTGGAAGCAGACCTGGCAACCCTACTGAGTCAAAGCCCAATAGGGCTTATTATCAGGGGATGTCTTATTTTGGGGGAAACAGTATATTTTTAAAAGCTGCCTCAAATTTTGATATCTAAAGTAAAAATCCTAAATTGAGTACATACCAGGTTTAGAAGAATCTTCAAAGCTGAGCAGTGTTGGTGACTGTGGCAATTGTTTTAGTCTCTTTTGTGATGTCATAGAAACTTTGCAACAATTCAGTGTGAATAAAAGCCACATCTTTTCAAGGCACATTAAGGAAATACATAACCTAAACAAGACTTCATTATTTTCCATGATCAGTTAACATGAAGAATCAAAAGATACCAAAGGCTATAGCTGTAGCACACAGGAAACGATTCCAAGGTGTGACTTTTGCAACTAAGCTATCTCCAGGCACCCACCGAGTTGTCGAAAGCTCTGATCTTCACAGATGCAAGAGTGCCAGACTTGGCAGTCATGCACTGAAGCCTGAACTAGCTGGTCTAATTGAAAAAACATTGCAGAAAGCAGGTAAGAAACTTAGAAATCATATTGTTGAACAACATTTGAGAAAGAACATTAGTAACAGTTAGTTACAGTTCTGCTTGTCTGTTTAAACCTCGCCTCCATTAAGCTTTGGTCTTAATGAAAAAAAAAAGACTTCCTTATCTAGCTAGATAGCTTGGAGAGGAGAAAAAAAAACCCTACATTGTAGATAGATAAATAGATAGAATTCTTTATTGGCCAAGTGTGATTGGACACACAAGGAATTTGTCTTTGGTGCAAAAGCTCTCTGTGCACATAAAAAGAAAAGATACATTCATCAAGATCATAAGGTACAACACTTAATGATAGTCATAGGGTACAAATAATCGAATCATACTAGGAAACAATATAAATCATAAGGATACAGTAATAAGTTACAGTCATACAGTCATCATCATCATCATCATAACAACAACAACTTTATTGTCATTGTACGTGTAAGTGGGAGGAGATGGGTGATAGGAATGATGAGAAGATTAATAGTAATAGTAATGCAGACTTAGTGAATAGTTTGACAGTGTTGAGGGAATTATTCATTTAGCTGAGTGATAGCGTTCGGGGAAAAACTGTTCTTGTGTCTAGTTGTTCTGGTGTGCAATGCTCTATAAGCGTCGTTTTGAGGGTAGGAGTTGAAACAATTTATGTCCAGGATGTGAGGGGTCTGTACTACGATTATTATGATTAATTGAAAAATTAGTTGCAACAACAAGTGTCTATGAAGATTTTCAGTCATCCAGGTCATGTTTTTCCCAAAGGTGCTGAAAGAAAGCACCTTTGGGTTGCAAGATACTGTAGTTCTCTGCCTTTTGCTACAAGAGCTCATTGCAGAAATTACTAATTCTACATATTCTGATATCCGCCCTAGAATTTTTGTGTTATGGGGGAAAAGACAATCTTTGGAACAAAATAAGATTCCAGGACTCTATCTACAAATCTAATGTAACATTTCCTTTTTCTAGAAATTTCAGGTAAAGAAGAAGTACTGAGTACAGAAGAAGATCTTCACTGGTAAAAAGCATTTCTATGTAACAGTCAGATGCAAGTGTCATGAATTAATTAGGGCATCTTTCGGAAACTTCACAGCAAGTGTAATTTGGTAATAATATA